TGAATATACAAATATATTTTTTTTTTAATTATTAGAATGCTATGAATACAATACTTGTCTGAAGATATAAATACTTTTTTCTTAATAATATTTTGGTAATTAATTTTCTATAGAGATATAGGTTTTATATACTAATAATATRGGTAGTATAAATGTAAATATTTCCTAATTAACTAATAGCCATTAAATGTATTATAAAACATTAAATTCAAATTACAAATTAAAACAAATGTTTTTATTTTATTTCTCGATTTTTAATCGATAATTTTTAAATCACAATATCAACATAATATGGACTATRAATAGAATAAAATAGTAATTAATTCACTAAAAATCCAATATGAATATTGGATAACAATAATGTAATAAAAATAAATAAAATAAATTCAAAATCAGTGCGTATTTTGTTTTAAAGAGTTTTAGTTTGTCAAAGACGAAGGATTTTGTTTGAAGATTTTTAATACGTACTTTTAAAATTTATGTTATCGATCATAGAAAAAACATTTTTTTTTTTTTTTGATAACAAGTATAATCTATCACGAATTGTTTTCATCATATTCGTTCAGTCCTAGTTTTGTTTGTGTTAGGTACTTGTGTTACTGTTGAAAAATATTCACACAAATACATTGTAACAATTTTAACAATATTAATAAAACAATTGTCACAGTTCTTACATTTTTTATAAAATGGTTTTAGACAATTAACCTACATTAATAACATAAGAAATGATCTTTTTAAACATCACAGTAGTTTAGATCTTAATTAATCAAATACTTCTAAGATCACATCCTTTTACATGTATATGATATTATAATATAAATATATATTTTAATACACATTTCAACAACAATATTATTTTTAACAGTATTAACAACTCTTTGATGGTCCGCTCTAGTCACGACCAGTTCTAATTGCCTAAACACTATAATGTTGTACATATTTTAACAGATGTTATCACAGTCTAATCAGTAAAATGTGCTTTTTTGAGTTGCACTTGTCATATAAGTAGAACCACATAGGTATATAATTTGTGGTAGGAACGCTTTTGCTAACATAATACAATATAAATATTTTGTTTTAATTATTATTGAAAACAAATGTTTTATTTTAAAGCAATTGGATTGATCATTGCATAAAAAATTGATCTTGGTGATTTATTATCAAGTAAAAATTCATCTTGAAATCGACAAATACTCTCTGAATATAACGATTGTTTATCATGTTTATTTTTGAATTAAGTATGAAATAGAAAAATAAGTGAATTTGTGTATAACACTGATATTGTAACATAATAATCAATAAAGTAAATGAAAAATGAACTTTGGTAACTTTAAATCATCTTTTTTTATGGTTT